ATTCTTTTTCTAACCAACTTTCCTGCGTATTTGATTTGTTTTAGTGTATTACATCACACTACTTAGTAACACCCAGTAGTTTGAGTATTTTAGACAATTGTTTTGTGACCTGTGTTCTGTAACGTAGTATTCGTAACGGATTCCATATTTTGTTCATTTCTACTATTATTCTAATATTTAACTCATTTTTCATAATCCAAATGGTACTTCTTCTTTCCTACATCATTCAATTTACCTTTTGTTTACTGCTTTATAGGATCTTGATTATTTTGGGTACCTTACCTAATTCTGTGATTAACTTGTTTTCATTAGTATTTGACAACTAAGTACTGATTTCTGATTCATAGTATATGTTGTTATTTATTCCTCATTCGTTTATTTGGTGCACAAAATTTCTTTGACTGAGCTATTGATAGAGTAATCAGCTCCTGGAGTCCTTAGTTGTTGTGTTCTGTTTTCAGATAACTATCATCATTTGGTTTCATCATTTCCTGTTTGACTCTTTTGTTGATTTCAAATTCTCGCATAGATTCTATATAATCAGTTATCCTTCAACCCTTTTTATCTTAGCTCAATGTTTGCAACGAATATATTTCCGTATTGAAATGTTTTAATTTAATCATATGATCTCAGTGTATTTATCGTACTTTGTGATTTGAGGTGGTAAAAAATTCATGAAAACTACATAAGAATTCAGTAGGACACCATATTTCGTGAAACTCTGTATAGTTAACTGATATGACCAACATAACACCGCTGCCGGAAACGGCATTCTACTGAAGATTGTCTAAATGTATTTTTGGTAATATTCATTGCTGAATGCAAAATATAACCATACTTAAATGATTTTCATATTAGGTATAATTCTTGATATTAAAGTAACGTTTCAACTCAATACTAAGGTTGTTCCATCTTTTAAATTCGTAATGAGCAGTTGTCATTCTCCAACAGATGGCCTTATTTCGGATGTTATTTCTTTCCGAAAAAAACTATTTCCTTCTTACTTCATTATATATGTATTCAAACTAAAACACCTTTGATCATTTTAACCTAAGGGTATCATTTTTCTGCTCTTTTTTCTAGACTTACAAGCATCAAGAAAAGTAGAAGAATCGGAGTTTTCCAGAACAGACGTTGCAAAATCTTCTGCGAAAGAAATTCAGGTTTTTCTTTTAATTTATATTTAACAAAATCTTCAATAATTTAATGATATCTGGTTTCAATTAGGTGGAAGTAATTGACTATCAATCTATACGTTATATTTCATTGTAAAACTGCTGGAAATTAGTTTTTACTACATATACTGATATTTACAACAAAACTGTTAAAATTCGATAAAGATGTTTCTTCATAATTTTAATTGACTTCAAAATGTTTATGCAAAAAATCTTGGACTGGTAGTTCAGTGGTTACAGTGATCGACTTTCAGCTACTAAGTCTCAGGTCTGAAACCCGTTTCACCTACTTCGGTTCGAGTAACCTTTTATTACCACTAGTTCCTATAATTGGAGCATAGCTTTAAGCTAATTATATGAATGCGTACAATGAAAATGAGTTAGCAAGATCAAATATAGAAGCTTTAAGTCTCACAGGAAGTATAACACTCATACTCTTATGTTTGATTTATCAAACGGTTTATATTTTCAAAGTCAATTAGTTTCTAATTCGTATGTTATCAGCTAGTTCATCGCTTCATTCCTGACTTGAATGTACAACTAAAATGTTTTGAGAATCTATCTGGAAACTGCTCATTAACAAGCGCAAAATCAGTAACATATAGGAGAGTTTCTTCTTTTTGAACAGTTCAAAATTCAAACTGAAATATAATAAACGTAGCAATAATTCTTGTTATTAATAGCGTTATAATGCAATATAATTTCATCTATGTAAACATAATTAATAAATCTAATCTAAAACGAACCAAACAGTTAGTATTATGGTAAAAGAGATCATTCTGATCTGTGAAATAAAGGCTACGTATCAATTTATTTGACTTTCTAATTGCTTATATTATTCCTTAATATCCTTTCATATACTATGACTTCTGTCAGTTTGGTTACATTTGTGGTTTGAATTCCAATGAAAACTTTGTTGACATTTTTTATTATACTAAACAGTAAAATTCTTTTAATTGTTTATTGTGTTTTTTTTGTATGTTAAATGTATCTCTAAGTCCCCTACTAAATTAATCTATGCTAGAAGTAAAATGTTATCCACTTTAAAAAAAAATGGAATAATTTCTGTCAATTATTGAACAGTTTGTGAATAAATCTTTAAGTAATAATGTTCGATCTTTGTCGAATTATTTCAAATCTATTAAATAGATAAGTGTTTAAGCAGTCATTGATTTTATGAAAATGACATTATTTGTTGGGGTTCCAATTTTATTTTAACCGTACACGTTTCTAAGTTATCTCTTAATTTTTTCTTATGATAAGTTACGTTTTGAAAACCTAATTACCCTCTGTATACATTAGAAGAATGTACGGTGTATTTTGGAGAGACATTAAGCATTCTTTCTTGGAAGGTTTATCCTCATCTCACTCTGGATGTACATGAAATACAGTAGAGATGATATACCTTGTATAATTTGTAAGATTGGAATAAGATTCCTACTTTCAAAATGTGGGATATATATATATATATATATATATATATATATCAGGCTAATTTAAAAAATTTGTTTTCGTAGCTAGTAAAGATGTATTTATAAGACCTCATTATTGTTTAGTAATATTTTCCCTAACTTATCATTTTTACTTATAGCCCTTGAGTATTTCATTAAAAGAGGCTCTCACTTCTTTCAATGAATCAACAGTATCTAGGAGACTTCATCTTTCCAAGCAAGCTCCGTCATCATCATCAGCACTTACAATCCATTCAGGTCACTTAACTTCAAGTATTTGTTATGGTGAAGATGATAATAATGATAGAAATCGTGCTAGAAATATCACTTCTATTACTGCTACTTCCTCAATGGAATTAATGACTACTGTAACAACACCGGTTCATCATTCGCATCCACCGAAACCACTTCCTTGTGACGATGAATCTTTTAATCATACTACTTGTGAAACACCAATTAATAATGTCACTGCGGCAGTACATTCAAAATTCCAGAATTCTCCGACTACTTCTATTGATAACGTCAATGATGATGATAATAATAATAATAATCTACAACATGATATATTATCATCAGAACAGGGAGATGAATCAATGGGACATAGTAGTAATGAGACATAGAGAGAACATACACAATTATCGTTTTTTTTTATAGATTTTCAATGTTCTCCACGTGTACATTAATTAATTTGGGTATTTTTTCTAAATGATAACATTGTAAAGATGTTAGATATCGTTTTATAAAAATCTATATATTGAATAAAGTTATGATTCCTTTCTGTCTTTTTTTTCTTGGTTCATTTCAAAAGTTTTGTTTTTGTTTGTTGTAACCACACCTTGAGCATTGGAACCACTATACATATGTACTTTGGTCACCTTTTTTTGCATTGAATGTTCAAAAAACTACAATTTCATGCGTTAAATATATAAGATAAAATATCCATCACTTTCAAATTTCACAACAGTATTGTTGGAAAGTGAAGTGTAGTACCTGTGTTGGTCAAGTTATTCAATTTTGAACCGATAGTTCTTGATTGTTCAAGCTCCACCACACCTATTTCTGTCTGGCTAGCTGACTAGTATCAAAAACCTTTACATCTAAAGTATAGATCAAAGCTGTGTATATGGATGTATAAATGTAAATAAAGTACCGTAAATAATTGCTGGAAATCAATATTTCATGGTATTCTCTTTATTTCAAGGACATAATATTTCATCACATTTGGTTTCATGATCAGAAATACACCATTAATAAATCTGATTTGCAGTGACTAATTCGACATGACTAATGTTACATACTAACTAGCAATTTGTGTGATATTGAGATAGTCAGTAATTTATTATATTATATACTGTTATCTATACATTTATCTCCAACCTTTTCGTGATCGACAGTTTTGCCAAACTTTCAATTGTTTTTGATTAATTATCGACAAGGAAAAATCGATTTTCGCCTAAAACAGTAATTTTGTAACTACTCTGTTCTATCATCAATATGCATATTCCTATTAGCATTTATTAGAGATTTGACCATGCAAACCTACATGTTATATTTGTATATCTGTATATTGTTTTATCATAATGTCTATAAGTTCAGTATAAGGACTCAATCCAATAAACTCGTTCTCTTTGGAGATGATAACTTATAGATGATGACTATCAGTAGAATCCTGAACACACGTCTATTTAGATCTGGTCATCTCGATTTATCTGCATCTCCGAGTTGATGTTCACTTCGGAACTCGAATCCAGTACCGTCCACCCCAAACGTTATCACGTTTTCGACTTAACTACGGAGTGAAGGTAGTCACTGACTTATGGAATGAGATGAAGTTGAATTCATTTGTATTGGTTACTTATGACTTAATGGAGAAATCGAGTCAGTACGTCCATGATGCACATAGATTAAATAGAAACTGATCAATTGCAGTCCTTCACATCAACAGGAAGATTCAAACAACCAATTCAAATGAAATTGTAGATTGTTAAATAATAAAATTACTCCATACTTAGTAATTTACTTTTAAACCTGATTTAATATTTTAACTTCATGTGCTAACTTAATCCCTACTTACTACTAAAGAACTACAATTGAGTAACCAGTAAGCCAAATGACTTGGGTTTATTTTATTCATTGTTTTTTCTGACAAATTTTTAATTACATTTAGAGGATTGAGATGTCGGGATTTTGATTGCTGACGCTTATCAGTTATAAGATGTTCAAAGTTTATTAATCAACTTTTCTCGTTTTTCACCGTATGGAGTTAAACTTCATTATTATGCAAACCTACTAATTCGTTCTGTATTTCAACTTCAATATCTGTTCAATTTATTTACTCCACAATATCTGTTCCGTTTGTTATTTTATTATTTTAGAAAGTTCAACTCATACTGGCTATTGTATTAGTAAACTTTAAAGTTATTCCTGAATAATAGTGACAAATTCAAAATGGTCCAATGTTCTAATCGTTCGAGTGTTAAGTGTATTTCATTTAAGTTATCTCGTGTTCGATTTGTCAGTAAACCAGAGACACAATACCAAGAATTAATCGTTACTGGTAGTTGGTTAGAGGAGGTAATAAATTTCCTTATTTTTATATTGCATTCAATTTATTCGATTTTTTTCTTGATGTATCATAATAAAATAAGGGACTTGTTATTATTTGGTCGAATAAAATCGTAAGGTATCTCTAGATGTAAGTGTCTGTGGTCTTGATGATCCACGTGGGATTGAAATCCACTGCCAAATATTCAGAAATATTACCACCGGACTATTCGGCCGCAACCGATCTCCTATAGATAGGAGTGAGATATTTATATTTAATTGATCACTGAGTTGCAACAAATGTCATGTTTGTTTATCCCTTTAGTGTTGATCGGATTCTATCGACCAAATTGCAATATGACTACTATTCTACATGACTCGATGTATCGTACACTATGTTGAGACGTTAGGTGGTTGAAGGTAGTCGACAGGAAACCCTTGAGCTATGTGTCATCTTATCTGGCACTCATCAACAAGGCGTACCTGAAAATTCGAGGGGGATGAACTTCTTGGTGGATTTGAATCCGTGTCACCCAGCTCCATAACTTGAAATGTTACCACTTAGTCAATATATAGAATTAGGTTAGTACTAAGGAACAGGCAAACACATTGTTGGTCGGAGACCAAACTATGTGAAGTAAGATATTTTATTAGGTTTAAAACAATTAATGCAACTCGTATGCTTAAATTTTAACAGACACTCGAATTTACTATAAATTAGGAACTGTAAATGTTGTGACATTGATTTTTATCTCTAAATTGACAAAAAACACTGGATATATTCATCAGTGTATTCTTAATTTGTGATAGTGTTCAATAATTTACCTTGTGTTTCCATCTAAAATTTAAAATTAATTTATTCTTCGACATTTTTGTCTTTCGATTTCTTCTTTTGCTTACTTTTCGAAAATAAAACTGAACATTTAATTAATCATTATTTACATCATTTATCATTATGTTCACTTTGTATTGCGTTTAGGTGAATCGTCTTTGTTTATGGCAGTATAGCAGTGATCCATCTGTTAATAATCATGATGAAACAGTTAGACCTATGTCAGAGAAGGAGGATTGTACTACTGCTGGTGTCCTCGGTGATACTGTTGATGATCCACGTTTATTATGCTCTCTTGTTCATCCGGGATCTGTTCAAGATTTGAAGGTTTGTTGCATATATATATATCGTTGAAAAGATCGGTAAAATGTACCGGGAAATTTTAATAGAACTGATTCCACTCTTCATTGGGTTCCGACCCTCAATGCCTGGTGTCACTGATGAGTAATCAATACTATGTTTGTCTCATACCTATTACTATTTAAATTTTGTCGGCCATGTTTTTTATCATTTTTAATGGCTTCTATACATTCAACTTCAAACTTAAAATTTCACCTTTGAATTATGTTTTCTACCATAGTTTGCAATTTTTCTTATTCATAACATCAGATCCTATCAAAATTTCTCCTAGTGTATTTCTAATATTACCGAGGTAGTTTTTTAATTAAAGTGCTTAACTTATCCGTAAACCTTATTTGGTTGCTTTTCAAGGTTAACGCCGATCTCAAGCCCTGGTAAAGGAGGTTTTGGTGTACAGTTAACAACCCCATCCCTATCAGGATGACCTCATTATCTGAACTTTTCCACACCTTAAATTTTTTTTAAGAAAAATAGAACAATTCTAAAAATGAAGTGATGTATTTAGTCTTTTTAAATGCTCAATTAATTTGATAAGGTACAGAATAAGACGTCTAAATTCAGGGTATACCGAATAAATAACATTTTTATGTTATAGTGACTTTCGTAATATATAGGAATTGTTTAAAAGAGACTTAAGTTGGAAATTACTTAATAATGCATCATATCTGTTTTATAAACCAGTCATTTATGGATTCGGTTTCCAATTGAAACATTATGGTCTCTTCCAATTCAACTAGAATTTGTTTTCTGTGAAGTATTAAATGATGTATTTTTCAAACGCTTAAAGTAATTGAACTGGGTACTGCTTGATGATCAGTCGTCAGGTATACGAGCCATTCAACGTTCAATTCTGAGCTTATGATTCGAGTTTTGATAATAATAATAATAATAATAATAAATATTTATAACAGTTGTTCTACTTATTTCAACTCGGATAAAAAACTTTCTGCATTTTTAACATATAACGTCGTCGAATTCATTAATTAATGCCTTGTTTTGGCCTTTTTAAAATATAATAATAATTATGAACTGTATAGAGTCTGATGATGAAGTTATTGAAAATATTTGTTCTCTTAAATATTCTTTATTATCGAATGTTTAATGGGGATTGTTAAACTTTATTATCTGTTTGGTTTCTTTGACTATCCCTACTGCTACTCATATGGGTTGTGAACACTAAATTTTTGTTTACCAGTCGTCGATTTGTAGCCTTTAGATTAGTAGCGATTCAGTCACTATTTTATTGTTTACAAGAACTATGATGTCTCTAAGACTTATATTCTTACTTAATTTTTCTACTATTCATGTTAAAATATATGATGTTTTACGATGTAGAAGAAAGTTGTTAGGTCCCGATAAGCATAATGAATGGTAACTTTGGGATTGATTTATGGACCACTACTGTGAGTATATTTTTATTGTATAATTGTTAATTAACTAGACTATTCATAATCATGTCTTTCTTATCATAAGCTTTATTTTAACCTATGAACCATTATTATACGATTTTCCATTCTTGAATTATGCCCTGTCTATTAATCACTACCTCCCTCATTCACAGCCACATTTGGCCAAATATTGTACAAATGTTATTTTCTATTTTATGGTACCTTGTTGTCTTTCTGATTGGTATATAAACCCCGTATGTTTGAAATATAATAATTCATATCGCAGAGGTTGAGAATGGTGTTCTGGACTTAACTGACTGGGCTAGGCGGAAAGCAGGGCCAATCAGGACCCTAGACTGCTCGTACCTGTTTTACGCGTAATTGATCCGACCGATAAGTCACTGCTCTCTGATTGGCGGTATTATTACGTTATCCATTAATAGGGCACTCAGGCTACAAGTCATAACAAAAGTACTTAATTGACTCATCCATCAGTGTATAGCCTTTATTTATTTATTTATTTTAACACATAAGTATAGGTACAGGGAGGCACCAAGTACATATACACAAATCTCAATTGATTTGTGTGAGGGCTGTGATACTGCTCGGGTGCCCAAACCGAAGCAGGTGGTTTTCTTAGGGGACCACACCCCGAGCCTTCGACCTGAACGTCTGACCCACAAGGCAGTGGAGCATCGTAAGGAGATGCAGTCCCATAGTAGCCGGTGACCAACGATTGGTTCATACGCCATTTGTTCCCGCAGGATACTGGAGCCCATGTGCACCATTGGTTTGGGGTCCGGTTAAAGCGCCAGACATTCGCTTTTCGTCCTCTCATTTTTGTAAACAACACCCCCGCCACGAGAAGGCAGTGAGTAGGACTTCCCTGTCAGAGGCTATATACGCGTGGCCATGTGAGAGCATTTCGAGAAGGAGAGAGGACTCTCCCCACTCTCGGCCGTACCAGGGCATTTGGGGGCAGTGTATAGCCTAGTCAGTTTGAATTTATTTTAACAGATAGGTATTGGTACAAGGAGGCACCAAATACATATGCGCCACACAGATATCAATTGATATGTATGAGGGCTGTGATACTGCTCGGGTGCCCAAACCGAAGCAGGTGGTTTTCTTAGGGGACCACACCCCGAGCCTTCGACCTGAACGTCTGACCCACAAGGCAGTGGAGCATCGTAAGGAGATGCAGTCCCATGGTAGCCGGTGACCAACGATTGGTTCATACGCCATTTGTTCCCGCAGGATACTGGAGCCCATGTGCACCATTGGTTTGGGATCCGGTTAAAGTGCCGGACATTCGCTTTTCGTCCTCTCATTTTTGTAAACAACACCCCCGCCACGAGAAGGCAGTGAGTAGGACTTCCCTGTCAGAGGCTATATACGCGTGGCCATGTGAGAGCATTTCGAGAAGGAGAGAGGACTCTCCCCACTCTCGGCCGTACCAGGACATTTGGGGGCAGTCAGTTTGAAACCATCCTAATTATTACGTTTGTCTATATTTTGTAGATACTATAATTTTTAAACTAATTAACACGTTATTTTAATGTCCAGATTGACTTGTGGTTACGTTACATTTACATTTCTATTAAAAATATTATATGAAATGGTGGTTGGCGATTACATTTCACTGGAATATTGTTTCATTATTTCATTTTATACAGCAGTTTCAATTTCTCATCTTATACATTTTTGGCTTTTTATAGACTTATCAAAATTTAGTGTTGGTAATTATAAACTGGAATGAATTCCATCTATTATCAATATTCTATTATTAACTTTATGTTAATGGATAACTATTAATCAAATAATTATTTAATTGAAAATACTAACTTATAATCTATTTTATTTACTTCAAGGTTCATCATCCAAGTAAAATTATTTTTTCTGCCAGTTCTAATGGTACTCTACAATTGTTTCAAGCTTGTCATATTCAACCTTGTCTAGTTCGATTATCTGCAAATAATTGGATGCCTTTTGGAGAAAATATTTTATGTGGTAATATTCCATCAGCTCTATCTAGTTTAGCAATTAACACTGATGGTCTACATGTATATGTAAGCAATGAACTTGGTCAATTAGCTATTGTTCAAGTAAATCGTATTCCTAATTTTCAGGAAACTGATCATATCAAATTTAGTAATGGTAATTTATGTATTCATTATAATTATGATTGTTTTGTAATTTTAATTAAGTCTTTTACATTCTATTGTTAACATAATTAATACTATAATAATAATAACAATAATAATAATAATAATAATAATAATAATAGTCAGTCAGTAACAACGTAGAACTTCGTACGTACGTACATCAGTTCGAGTTGCCATACTACATTAGCACAGAGATACAATTGTCGATCCAAATCACATAGTGGTAGAGGTAATAAGAGTATAAGCAGTAATCGGAAAGATTGAGGTTTGAAGATGTTATTCAAGGAGTATAATACAGTGAAATAAATTTGGAATGAGGAATAAAAGGATATGAAGGATTCAGAAGATTAGAATTTGGGAGAACACAGAGAGTGGATGCACCTGCGCCATTGCAAACGATTTTGAGCCATGTCATTCAAGGTGTCTAACCATCGGTTGCTATCATCTCGCGGTCCCCAACCAGGTAGTCTACACATACTAACATGACTCAGTCCACTTGTCAGTGACTTCATGCATTTGTGCCATGTTTTGGTCTGGCCGCCTCTAGCTTTTTTCAAACTTACTCCTACACCATAAAACATCGCACGTCGGGGCAGTCGTTTCCTAACAACTTAGTTACTTACTCGGTGGTACCAGGATATACGAACAATGTTTCGAAGACACCTATGATCGAATACTAGTAACCTACGAATATCCTATGCTCTTACCGGCCATATTTCACTACCATAAATTAATAATAATAATAAAGTATATATGAGTTACAAATTTCTATCAACTCTTAATCATGCATATTTTCATTATCACCATTCAATTCATCAATAATACTCATTTGAATTAATAAAAGTATCTAGTGAATAATTATTAAGTTTAGAAATTTCAAACTCCATTGTTGGATATTGAATTAATATTTCGATCAGTCGTTATTATTCATAGATGAACATTTTAAAGAACAAAAAATGTTCTTTTAGTTCATTTGGGCACTATCTACTGAATATGGAATATCAATTGGATAAAATGATTGTGTTCAATTAAAATTAATCATTAAACAATTGAGATGCCTTATAATTGCTCTGTTTAAAAAAAACCGTAGTTACAATTTGATTGAAATTATGTCTTTTAAACAATTTACTGGTATCTCTAAGTGTTAAAGAGTGAACATAGAGAATATAATTATTTTTAAATGAAGACATTATGGCGGTTATTAAAAACAAAATTGACGTTCGTTGTGCATTTCATAAGTAATTCCTTGAGACTAACCCCGGAAATTCCAATATTGATCTGTTTTTCAAGTAGTTGTTGACACGCAAAGACAATTATATCAGCTAATAGTACATTGTGAACAAAAAAGCAACATTTCCGATTTAAGTGTCCCACCTTGGAAATGAAACTGAAAACGTCTTTAACACTTTTGTTGACGACCAGTTTGTGTAGGGGCTCTAGGATTCGAACTAACCACTTTTCGGTTTTATGGTATGGCAGATTATACATATCTAAAACTGGACTCACAGGAGGTCCCGACTTGGGGTAATCTGTGGAGTCGTGGTGTGTTTGACCCAGTAGGTTTAAATGAATCGTGAATGGTTGGAGTAGTGATCCTGTTGTTTTTCGATTCCTCAAGAGAATTAGGAAGATGGAGTTACTTGGTAATAAACTACATTTTCTCTACATTTTGTCAAACAGATACGAAAGTGGTTCTGTCAGTAGAAGTGTGTATGGGAAAAATTCCTCAACAAGCCAGTTCATACTTTTCTTGAGTTCTATACCCATTCATTATAAGAGAAACCCAGTAAGATGTATTGCTAGTAGAGCTAGGAAGATATGCTCAGACGACATAAACAAGTAACTAGATTTAATTCATAATATGTTGATCGAAACGGACTATCCACAAACTTAAATTTGTCGAGAATTATTTTATATGTTTCTACGTTCAAGGGGCAAAGTGAAATATTGTATTAGTAAAAATTAAAATTGTTTTTAGTGTTTCGTAACTGTTATGATTTGATGTCCGGCTTACGATCACGTGACTTATACACCAATCAGAATACGGCTTATACGAATATTCGCACTATGACAAGACCAATGACGTTCAACCGGTCTGAGCAGTCTAGCGTCCTATTGGGTCCTACGTCCTTCTAACCCGTCCTCTTGAGTCCAGAACACAATACCAGCTTCTGAATCAACCAAATCATTTATTTCCGACATACTCGGTTTATATATCAATCAGGCAGACCACAACGTACCATAAAATAGAAACTAACATGTGTACACAAATAGGCCAAAAAGTGGCTGTGAATGTGGGAGACAGTAATTAATAAACTGAGCATAATTTAGAAACAGTAAATCGTACAATGATAAATTATAGGTCAAAGTGAAGCTTATGATAAGGGGAATATAAATATACATAATCTAACTATTAAATAATTACACCGTAAGAATATATAGATAATATTAGTCAATTAATGTCTCAGAAGTTACTCGTGATTTAATCTTCGCTCGGATATAACAGTAACTATCCTGTAGTTTTCAATCAAGGAGTAGAAGATCTCTGTCTTATCGGAATATAGGACTTATAGGCTTCATCAGATATACATTGGACCACGAAAACTTGAAGTCTTACCGCTAACTACAATCCTGTTGTATATATTGTGCAATTCCAGCGAAAACTCTATTATCATTGATGGAAATTTGTTTCTAATTCATGTTAAAAATTGGTTTTCAACGATAACTACGTGTTCACAACTCACCTAATTGTACAAACTAATTATTTGAAATACGTCTCCAAGCAATCAATTTTATTATTGCCTTGTAAAGTGTTAGTTCTTGCATTAGGATGCTGATTACTGACTTCTTAACTGCTTTCTCAATCCCCCGACTACTACTGCCCGTGAACTCGAACGCTAGAGAAAAAGCGCAAAATATGGGAAAAGGCTTTATTTCAAGATTAATTTATATACATAAGATCAAGTTTATATATAAGTTTCTGGATGGCGTTGATCTTCTAGAAACTTCTGGAAACATACTAAATGGAATAAAAACATAATTAATTATCCAGTCCAAATATGACACATAATCCTCCGTTTTTCCAAATGCTTCCGAGAACTTCTATTCAATGCTGATTGCGTAAAACGTTTTCAGCCTTTTCTGGTCTTCTAGAAACTTCATCTATGGATATTTGTGGACTCTCATCATAAAGGCAAGTATCTTAAATGTTATTTCCAAAATTAATATGCTAACTTCCTTCTATTTTACTGATTTCTGTTTATTTCCTTTCAAAAAAATCAATTATGAATTAGATGCAATATTAACGTCAGGAGCAGATATATCTACAGTGAATGCACTTGAACGTGTAGATAATTCTACCTTGGCTAGTGTCAATCAATTAGGTCAATTGAAGCTATGGGATTTACGTACCGGCTTGAATAAACCACAACGTAGACTGTTACGGTAATTATGTACTGGAATAGTTTTCTCTCCCGATAATTTGTTTAATTAACGTCTATTTTGATAGTGTTCCGATTTAATTTATCCTTTCTGTATTTATTTATTGTGTTAGACTATTCTGTTAACATTGATTGATATGTGTGTAGGCTCCTCTTTTATTTCATTAAGGTTTCTTTAAAAATACGTTCTTTTGTTCAGTAGATTGAGTCATAAAAGTTGCTCCCCAGATATGAATATCGATATATGCACTAAGTGGTTGCTGACTAGTACCAAATGTCATGTTTGCTTGATTCTTAATAGTCGTCGGATTATATCGATCTAGTTGCAATGTGGCTACTAGTCTAACTGACTTGACACCGGGTGTATTGTTTTTATATTCGGTGGTCGAAGGCAGTTGACTGCCAATTCTGATTTATTTATTTATTTATTTTAACACATAGATATCGGTACAAGAAGGCACCAAATACATATGCGCCACACAGATCTCATTTGATATGTGTGAGGGCTATGATACTGCTCGGGTGCCCAAACCGAAGCAGGTGGTTTTCTTAGGGGACCACACCCCGAGCCTTTGACCTGAACGTCTGACCCACAAGGCAGTGGAGCATCGTAAGGAGATGCAGTCCCATAGTAGCCGGTGACCAACGATTGGTTCATACGCCATTTGTTCCCGCAGGATACTGGAGCCCATGTGCACCATTGGTTTGGGGTCCGGTTAAAGCGCCAGACATTCGCTTTTCGTCCTCTCATTTTTGTAAACAACACCCCCGCCACGAGAAGGCAGTGAGTAGGACTTCCCTGTCAGAGGCTATATACGCGTGGCCATGTGAGAGCATTTCGAGAAGGAGAGAGGACTCTCCCCACTCTCGGCCGTACCAGGGCATTTGGGGGCCAATTCTGAGCCTGAGTTTCGTACTAGTTGGCACTCACTATCAAGATGTATTTGCATATTTTTAATTTAAATATAAGTTCCTTGAGGGTATATTTATGTTGAAGATTTGTAAAGATTCTTATGTATGCTCTACGGCTTGGAAATTCATTTTTTAATCCGTGAATGATAAACGACTTTGATCTTGTTGTATCATGGAAAAAAGGCTGCTACGGATTTGTTAAAGCTTGAAATTTTCTGATCGATATTATGTATTATATTGTCAATCGGACCAGTGACCAATCAACGACAATCAAGGCCTTAATGCCTATTGGTCCTTGAGCCCCTTCCCAACCCAGTGGAGATTCAGAAGACAATTATAAGAAGCACATTACTTCTCTATTGTGCCCAATTCGATTACGATCAAAAACTTATACAATAATATACTAAAGATCCCTAACGACACAGCATACCAAATAAGAAATCATACCTTAATCACAATCAGACTATAAGTAATAGAGGGCGGAACAAACAGTACATAATCAATCAGCAATGATTGAGGATTAGTAAGATGTATGACAACAGTTAGAAGTTCTATTGGAAGTTTACAACAAGGCGGATACAGAAATGTAGCAATATAGATGTCTACTGATTATACAATACAAATATCAATAATAGTTATCCAGGTGATAACGCCGAGAGTTTCGACTTTCTCAATATTCGTTCTGTTATAAAATTTGTCTAATTTGCCTCTTTGTATATTTCATATAAGAATTAAATCAGATAAAAATGTAAAGATTAATGGGTTAATTCTAAAATTTTTTGAGGATAGTGGTCTAGATCTTTTTTACTTAGGGATTAACGGTCAGACGTTATTCTTTTCGTATGTGTCTATCTTCATTCATGGTCATCCTAGGTTAGAACATATGATGGTTTTCATGTAATAATCACAACAGATTCCGATTGATTAACATGGTTTCTAGGATTATAACTTTTATAATCACTCAATATTCAACTGTAACGATTTAAAAACTTTTAGTGACTCAAATAGGATTTAGACCTTTCTAAAAATAATGGCTTTGCTTCAAGTCTCAAGACATTAGCATACTTACTAATACCCAAATATAATTATATTCTTCTTCCTGAATACATATGTAACTCCATCGATGGTAAGGTTTTATAGCAATCTATCACTAAAAAGTAATCCAAAACGACTGCATCTTTCCACTTAAGTCGCGCAAATTTACATTCCTCATCTGTATAGACCTAGTTTACAAATGCTAATCATATTTTCCTACTCTCTATTTCTATTCAACTTTGTTATACTTTTCTGAATACAAAACTCATATTCCACTGCTTCTCAGGAGTCGAGTTTTGCACTTAAAAAACTCGGATATCTTATCATCGTAAACAGAAATCTATTCAACGAGAATTTTATCAAAATATTCTAAAAGCTTTCAGTTACATGTATTATATTATTGCCTAGATTAATATAGATTCAATATATATTTCTACTTGATTTGCCTTTTCTTATTGGATATACTATCTTATAAGTTTATTCACTTTGGGTTTTTTTTACTTAAAGTCCTGGAGATACCCAACCTTTATTATGTCTGAGCCAACATCCTGGACAACCTCATCTTTTATCTGTAGGTGGTGTTAATTCCTCTAGTGCAGCTGCTTATATATGGGATTTACGAGCTGAACAATATCCATTAACTGAAGTAGCCTGTGATGGTCAATATATATGGGAAACTGCTTTTCATCCACGTCAACCGAAACATTTATATATGGCTACGGAAACAGCCGGTTTATTACGAATTAGTAGTCGTGATGAATCAGGTAAGTTCAGCAATAGTTGGGATTTTTTTCTTTTCATTTATTCAGAGTGAAATTTTGGCTGACTCAATGAATGTAGTCCTAAACTCATTATGAATGAAAATTTATTCGCTTTCGAAATTTTTCCCAAAATGACGTGATAGTTTCAAGTTTTGTTAGTGAATACTATTTAAAATCTATTTTCCCATATGTATAACTGCTGATTAAACTTTCATTGTTTTCATAACTTGTCTATGCAGTTTAACCGTAGAGAGCAAATTCGTATGTGAGCCAGTTGGTCAACACAACTCACATCCGGTAAATAGACTAAGCGAATGCTGACTCTAAGTTTACGGGATACGAGGTGAATAAAATAAAGTTTTTGTGAATCATGTGGATTGACAGAAAATATTTTACTTATTTTCAGGCACCCTTTAAATAGAAAGCTATGTACGGCCAAATCAAAACGTGATACCAATTCATGAAATCATTGACAACTGAACTGAATCGTGTAAATAGATGTAGATTACCTAATTGGGGTGCGTGTGATCATCGTAACTAATTATTCAGACATTTGTGTGACATGGCTCAGAATCTTTCACAATGGCATAGGTGCATTCACTCCCTGTCTTCCCTGAGAACCCAATTCACAAAATCGCCTTTTACCTTTTTTTGTACGTAACCTTTTCTATTACTACGAATACTGTTACTACTTTTACTACTCTGAAATTTGTCTTAACTCTATCCCATTGTGCTAATGTGGTATGGCAACTTGAACCAATGCATATATCTGGCAGGTCCTATATTGCACATGACATGACATGTCATAACAAAAATGAACTAAATGTGATAACTATAATTTCCAAACACCGTAATCACTATGGTAATATGATGTAGCAAATCATCCCATATCCCTACTTATATTCAGTAATACTCCTTCATTGTTACATGTTATGCAAACAAAATATTAGTTCTAAGTACTTAGATATGTTTGAGAACATATTGCAGACAAGATTATTGATTCATCCCGTTCTTGTTCCAGTCTTATTTCATTGAATCTAGGTTAATTCTATCAGTAATGCCTTGGTACAGCCGAGAGTGAGGAGAGTCATTTCTCCCTCCAAATGGTTTCATATGACCACGTGCAATATAGCCACTCCCAGGGAAATCGAACTCACTGTTTTCTCTCTGCGGTGGTGTTGTTGACGAAACTGAAAGGATGAAAAGCGAATGTCCGGGACTTAAACTGGGTACGAAACACCCATCTAGAGGGGGTTGGAAAACCCTAATCCCAAACCAATGGTGCACAAGGGCTCCAGAATCCTGAGGAAATAAATGAACCAGATCTCTAAGTCAAAGGCTCAGGGAGTAGTTCCTTAAGGAAACTAGCTGCTTCGGTTTCGACAAGGAGACAGTATCCCAACAATTACACATTTGTGTAGCCTATATATACCCCTTTGTACCAATGTTTGTGCTTAGATAAACGATTTGTCAGTAAATATAAATCTCATTGTTAAACCCGACTATTTCACTAACTAAAGTTTGTGTTGATAGAATTACTTTTAACTTCTCCGATAACTTGGTGTTTTATCCATAATGTTACAAGAATGGCAGACATCAGCATGAAGTATCAAGCTTCTATGCGACATCAATCTTGTTAACTTATATTACTTAGTTCATTTTACTATGATATGCTATCAATGTTATAAATTCGTTTTTTTTTAAAAAAAAACTACTCTGTATTTCAAGACTCATGGATTGGATTCAAAGGTTCACGTCGTAAGTTAACTGTATCATCTGCTCTACCCGAAGATACATCAGCTAGAAATGTTATTTCTTTTGATATTTCCAATAATCTTCTAGTTTGTGGCCATTCAGATGCTGTTTTACAAACTGTTCCTTGTAGTGTGTATTTGTATTAAATGTGGAATATTACTATTATCATTAAAATGAGTATTTTATCGCCTATTGTGTTGTATTTTCTTCATTGTAATGTTTTCCATTATTGTTTATATGACAAGTGTACATTTTAATAGTTCAAACATTCTACATCGCAACTTCGTCAGTAGGATTCAATTGTCACTCAAGGTTAGATAAGTATGAGAGAGGTTAGTGATAGATTGATATGAATGTATCAATTCTACAGGTCAGCTGCCGTCCAAATAACAAAATGGTGGCATCTGTGGTAGTGAGTGACTGAGAATCGAACCTCAGAGAGAGTATCACTTCCCTCTACGCTACAAATGCTACCTGTTAACAGGCTGCAATTAGCGTAAAATGAAAAAAATCGAAACATAGTACGTGGTGCCGAATCACTTAGACTAGTTCGCCATATTGTATATTGATCAACAGAATTTGATCAGTACCAGTGACTGGATGAACATGTTACATCTAAAAAGTTCAGTGTGGATAAGAATAATAACGTCCTCTTGCATGAAGTGAATATTAAATTTTCAACTAAAGTATCATATTCCAGTGATACAATGACACAGACTTTTCGGGTACTTCTATAATTGTATATGCTTGCTACAAATATCATTCCGAGAGTAGGTTTCAGTAACGTTTTATGCAATATTGGATCTTTCCAAGTCGTCACACATGTTCTAACAATGTAAGATAAAAATGAGCGAAAACAGAAACAAATCAAAAGATATGCTGGAAGGCAACAAGTTAATTTACCTGCATGTTGTATCATGTCGTCGCCACATACTAATTTCAGAACGTGCATTGATATCATGTTTTAATGCAACTGTCATATCAGTTTTTTTTTGCTTCACTTAGCTCATTGATTTGGGTGCTAACTAATTTTCTTCGTAGGTTTTAAACTCCACTGATTAGTCTTTATTTCTGAATTAAGATTTTGTGTTTGGTGTTAACACTATTCACCTAGCGATTCCACCACACACAAGCAGCACTTCGAGGATACTTATATCTCAATACTTTTTAGCCCTCAAAAACTTCCTAGTGTCAGTATTTGTTATCCTACAAGAACCAGTTGCAGATTACATTAAGAAAAGTTTAATAAGCCTTTTGTAACACCAGTGAGATGTGAATAACTTCACATTAAACAGCATTAATGAAAATTGCTAAGTGTTTGAAGCACGAAACCACTCCGTTCGCCATTGTTAAGCTTCAAAGAGATTTTAGTGTTATCTTATGGTCGACAGTTGCAAAACATTCTATCTTCAAGTTTTCTCTTAAGACTGTCAGAGAATGGGACTGACTGGTACAATTTTGAATAAGTTGTGGATTTTATTTGAAATTTATAACAGGATATACACTAAAAAGCTTCCATTAGTTTTAAATGGTGCATTTGCTAGACAGAAAATGATAATCAACAAATAAATGAATCATGGACGTGTAACGAAGTAATTTCCAAAACATTACATCTAGTTCGACTAGATTTTTTTGAAATCGTTATCTAAGTAGTTCATCGAGACTTTCGCCCTGATAACTATAAAGCTACTCGCAACTGATTAGACGTATTGTAATTATAGATAATAAAAAGCTTCGTTACAGTAACATTTCCACAATATTTAACCTGACACTATTTAGCAATTTGAAATCCTCATATTTTGCTATAATGAATGACTTTGCCATTCTATGTTTACAAACAGCTCGAAACGGTTGCCACTAGTGGTGTATTGGTCGCGTTCTAATAGGAATGAAGTAGCAACCGACCTAGCCACTTTACATCAATTGGTAAGATGCTCGCAGCTCAATTTCTTCGGGCCTAGTTCAGCACGAGATCACTACATCGTGTCCCAAGGCTATGAGTATTTGAATTTACGATACGTTTTTTAGCTAGAGCTTTTGACAATAATTGATGCCGCACCGAACCTTAATTTATTCTGGTACAGTGAGGGACCAAAATAAGTCCACTATACAAATGAAATGATAATATTGCGAAGAAATAAAGGGGAGTCCAATCATTAAACAAATGATTGTAAACAAGTGCTTGTCTATACGCATGTATTGCAACATTTGTACGTCGAAGTCCCATAAATTCATGACCTTGGTGAGAAAATCAGCAAACAAATGATTTTAACACTATACAAAAATAAAGTATCTTTGCTGATAACAAAATGGAAAGAAACATGGTTCAGTTTAGATGATCATGCCCGTCGTCTATATGATGATATCGAGCCATTTCAAACGTGTTATCACAAAAGTTCAAATCGAATTATTAACATATACCACCAACACAATATACTAAGATGTATGTAGATCAACTGAACAGCAAGTAAGTGGACTGATATAGTCAAATAGATTACACTAATAAACGAAAACAATTTAAGCTGTTTAATCCGATTATAAGTTTATTTTTATTTATTGCATGCATGTAAACCCCGGTACAATATAGGACCATTAAAACTGCATCACAAAAGAAATACGGGAGGAAATGGTAGTACAATCGTTAAATAAATGGATAAAAACAGTATGTAGTAAGAGATACAGTTCAGTTAATAATACATTCAAAAAAAGAAACCATCCGGTAAAGAGTTCACATAACTTATAAAGAAAGTGGTACGAAACTACAGCGGAATCGTCAGTGGCTCCTATTTCGAACTATATTTGATAGCCTTTTTGAGCTACAGAGTCGTACCATCTCTAGGAGCCCAAGTGGGGATTCGTGATGATCCGTCAGATGCTAGTTCTATGCATTTGTCTACAATACCGCGGTGCAATGTCATTAACTGGTCACAAATATAATGATAGTTTCTAATTGGCCAAACCTACTAATGTCTAGAATTAATAGTCAGTTTAAGTTTAATATGAGTTAATATCATGCATTGGTAAATATATGTCTGAAAATTTAGCGGGAACTACTTTAATGGTTAAACTGTATGAACTGCGTGTCTAAGTATTTCTTTCGGCTCGTGTGTAGTTAGACGTTGGAAAAACATGTTTCATTCGAAGTTTTAGCAATAAAATGTTTTTTCCATAACCGGGAATAATGACCAGCTTAAACTCCAAACTATCATATGGACTGGAAGTGAAGGTCAATTGAACTAAATGAAAGATGACTGGCAAACTAGCGTTTACAACTTCCCGATAGTAATTCTTTTATGGGAACTATCAGAGAAAGTTGTTTTTTTAAAACTCCAGATACGCTTTACTGACAATTGCCGATAATTACGGTGTTTTACTTTTACGATTAGGTCGCTACATATTCACTTTCTAAGAGGCTACTACAGTCAAAAGCTGAAACTTGGTCTATAGAGATTCATTAGAAAATGATAAAAAATGTAGATAAGAGCTGTACAGATTATAATACACTGGTTCCAGATTCACATTTGCATCAGCCACGAGCACTCTCCATTTCATGGGGTTGTAGTGAAACCTTACTGAGAAATGCTAAATAGCCTTTGTTGCATCGGTTCGCATAATGTCCTTTCTCTCCACATTTAAAACATGTTACTTCGTCAAGTGGTTTTTGTGGGCCTTGTCGAGGTCCAGTAGGAGCAGCCTGTGAGGTTCCCATAAGACCACCGAACTTGAGACGTTCTGAGACAAAACGAGATCCAGCATTAACACCTTGTTGAGGCAACGCTGCGCCACCAGAGCTAATATTCTGCATTCGCTGCTGCTCCTGTAGTCGAAGACGTTCCTCAGGTGATAGTTTGAGGCAAAATTGTATTTTGTGTCCACGTTCATCTAAAATGCAAAATACAGCACATTTTAAATTCGAAAGACAGAAACTAATATACAGTATACGATATAGAGGAAGCTTACTGCAGTAATGACATATCCAGCGGCTTTTCTGTGTATCTTGGTCACTTCCTGGAAGAGGCCACCATATAGGGCTACAAAGTTTAAAAACAGAGTTTTACTCACTGCGCATATTTACATTCACGTCCTTTAGGACAGAAACCATTTATGTAGTTTTTGCACGCTACTCGTCTAACATGTCGATTTCGGCACAAAGGACCTAGACATATTTCTAAAAGTAAGTCCTATTACCGTTTCTGCAAAACCCTCTATCATACCAAGGGCAATCCTGTACCTTAGAAGCGGGGTCAATATGAAGAAATGGACATTCTTTATTCATGCACTCTCCTATATACCACTAGTAAGAAATAATCTGAAGCTCAACTTACCAAATTTCGAAAAGAAGTAACATTCTGGCATTTTAGTCATATCATATTCGTGTAGGAACTCGCAGTCATCACCTTTTTTGCACAATCCACGAAGCCAATGCTTGCATACGACTGTTCTGTCAGCTTTGATATGCCTCAACGGACATAAATTATTAAGGGGACATTGATTAATAATAAAAAACCGACAAACGCCAGCACCGGACTCTAAAGAAACCGTATTAAATAAAATCTAAATAACTGTTCATATTTGAGAAAGGCAAACACCCCAATCCAATTTGATTTTCTAGTTGGCTCTCAATAATAAAGTCAATGTCTGATACATCTGCAATTAAATTGTCCATCTCAAGATTATCTACAAAAGACCAAATTCAAATAAGATTTTATTATTTGCATATTAGTGATACAGAAAGAAAATGAAGTTTACTGGTGACCAGTTCTATAGATATCTTATGTAAACTAGAGGTTTTAAGGAATATGAGTACTTACGTACGAGCGCGCTAATACCATGTTTTGCGAAATGAGGAAATTCTTTGTTAATAAGTATAAAGATTGTAGATCGTTTCCAAGCGACAATATTTGATCTATTTCATAACTCTTTGTGCAATCCCTAATTTATAAATACTCTTGCAACAGCGGAACGAAGCTATATCAAATGAATGATGATGATGGAGTTGTAGTACATAATTTTTTTTCGAAACATAATCAGTAAACCATTTTCTAATGCAAAGCTAAGCTAGTTGATGTATTTGAGGACAAGTATAAACTGACATCACTGGGACGCATTATTCAGTTTACTAACTAATATTTTGTCTCATGTTTCTCTCCTTTACCCGGCTTATTACATTGCTATGTCGAGTATGGAATTT